TATTGTCCCTTAATACCACGGGGACAATAGGGAGTCTAAATGCATTCATTAAACTTGACTCAAAGTTTGGTTTGTTGCATTAGTCACATACAATAATGTAATTTACTTGTTCAGCTTTTACTAACATCTAATCAGCACTAACATAAAGTACAGTTCAATGAAACTACAGTTGGTTTACTGTCATCTCCAGTGAATGTATTTGAAACATGTCCTCACCTCAGTTCTCTGCTTTCTTTGTATTTGACTATTTCTAAATCTGGCACTGAAGATGGAAAGGAGGTGAAGTAAAAAGCCAGATCCGTCACTGTTGCAGTTTTGATGATGTCATTGCTGTCTACACATGGAAAAACTGTCAAAGGCTTTCTGTTAAGATAAATCTGTTACCAATCATTTTTCTAAATGCCAAGAAAAGTTTATTTTTATACATTTTCCTTTTATTTATATTTGATGCTCAAATATCTGGAAGTTTTTTGAATTGTTTTGATTGTTTTGTGTAAATCACTAAGTCACACATGATCGTTTCATTATTTTTCTATAATGTGGCAATATAGACCAGGCTGATTCTTTTCTGGAGGTCCAGACTCCTTTTAGTTTAGCAGTTTTTATTATTTGCTGCTGCTTATTGTTATTTTTATTATTTCTGTAGGTAAAAAGTTGCATGATTTTCTGCACCCCAGAAATAATTGTGACGATGGAAGTCTTCATCAGAAGTTCGTTAATTGATGAAAGATACAGATGACAGTGGAACAGTTTCAGGCTGTAGCTCACACTAAGCTGCTAGAACCTAAATTTCATCCTCTATGCCTTTAAAAACGTCAATGATTGTCAAAAATGACTATTTTCCAGAGGTTAATGGAATTTTTTTAAATATTTGTTTTAATTTTCAGGCATCTGGAAAGTTTCAATTACAAAATGGAGATTAAAGGGTTTTGATGAAGAATATTAACAGCATCCTCCCAGTGTAAAGCAGTGGATCTATAATAAGTTCTGGGTTCATGCTGATATTAACTGTTTTATACTGTTAGAGTTATATTCTTTGTTTTCTGAAGGGTGAAAGATTTTTAACACTTTGTCCTTAGAGCTTGTCCGCAATGGGGCTTTATAAACTCTAGCGGAGACTAATAGATGCTTTCTGAGCTCTGCCATTGCTGTCAATAGCAGAGGTTTTCAAAGAATGATGTCAAATTAGGAAGTGATGTCAACATAACAAGAGCTTCTTTCTTTTTCAAATCTGTTTGTCTTCATAAAAAGACGTTTGAATATTTTAGTATTGAATGTCTTCAGCGCTCATGGCTAAGGAGAAAAACATAATTTTTGGATGTAATTTATACCAAGAGGGCTCACGCATACTGTATAGCACATGATGTACAAAAGACAAATGGCCATTTTATTTTCATCATCATTCTTTGTGTGTTCAGTGTTTTGTGATATAAGATTTACTTTCAGTATGTTATGTGTACTTGAGGGAAAAATGCCGTGAAGATGTCCATCAAGTAAAGAAATGTTTTACCAGAGTTTATTAGTTTTTCATTCAACAGAAGATGTCTGTTACATCTGTGTAAACATGTTTTTCAGTGTGAACAGAAGAGCTTATTGCAGATAAACAGATGATGGCTTTCAATAAATATATCAACTGATAAGAAAAAAGGAATGTGGTAGTTTAGAAAGTATCCCATTTACTTTACAGCACAGACGAGATGGTTTTCCAACACTGTCGTCTGTATATACAGGGTTTTGTTGAGTCTTAAAATTTTCTTCGTCCTCAATATTAATGCCAGCCTAAAATGAATCAGTAAAGTTCAGGCAGTGCTCTGAAGGATTCACCAAACATATAAATTTATCCAAAAAACAAAAGATCTGTGATATCTAAGGGCGTCATCTCTCCAATAAGTCAGTTTGTCTTATATTTGTGCTGCTTGATTCAGCAGCTGTGTGTTTTCTAAGCACAACAAAACATCATTCAACATTCAAACCTCAGTCTTTAAGAAAACTTACTGATCCTCGATCTTATGTGTGCTGATCATTTGGTCCACATGGTGGAGCACTTACTCTTCCTGGTGCTGGATCAGCTCAGGGGTTTCTGGTCCCAGCTCATGATAAAGACTCTTCAGGGTCCAAACTCAAGTGGCTTTTTCCTCATATGACCCATCAACAATGAGCTCACACATAACTCCATCAGTTTTCTTTTTCATTTTTACATGACTCAATGTCTTTCTCCAGATTGATGTTGTGAAATGTTCATTTCCAGAGGTCACCTCTGATTTTCTGTTACAAGAAATACTCTTGAGTGCAGTGATAATAGAAAGAGGAAGAAAATAGAGGAATAAGAGGCAGAATGAATGAAGACAGAGATGTTACACTAAAAGAGTCCTGATCTTTGGAAAAAAACATTTCCCCAGCACAACTGTAAAAGGCACATCTGCTTGATGTTTGTGGATGAATTGCATAATTTCCTATTTATACGAAACAGTAAAATTGGTTTACATTGGTTTCCAAATGTGACAAAATGTCAACCTCACAAGCAAATAGACTTCACAGCTGAGAAACAGTGATGTCCCCAACCCTCAAATCTTAAACGTTTTTCTGTAACATGAGATATTCATTATTAAATTGAATTAATAATTAAACACAGTAAAAAAAAACAATCCTTGCATGAAGAAACCACCCTCCAATTGATCAGTGGTCCACCCACATAAAACCAGTTAAAAGAGAAGACGCACAATAAAACTCAAATAAAAGTCATGATTGTGAAATAATCAAAACTATTTAGACTTTTTGTATTCTCTGTAGGAAACCATTGCAGAGGCTGACTGTGTTTTCAGGACAATCAAAACCTCTGTATATATGTAGATTTACAGACATGGGTTCTTCATGTGAAACACACTGAGGCCTTTGAGCTGCGTTCAGTGTTTATTCTTCAGTCTTTGCTCGAGAGCGGCTTGTGCGTGTTTATCCACAGCTACATTAATACAAAGGTGAATACATATAAAACACATGTGGACTGTTTTATCGTCGACACAGTTTGGACTCAGTCGCTGTGAATTTCCTGGCTGAGTTTTCGCCGCTGCTGAGCCCCTGACAGCCTTAAATCTTCCAGGTTACATCCCAGAACTGATGCTCTGGGTCACATTTAGAAAAGAGGAACAATGAATACTTTATTGTGTTTGTGTAACGTACAGAAGGTAGTTTGTCACACACAAAGACAGCTTGTTCCTTCTTTATTTTCTTCCTGGTCCCAAAGTGGAGGTCAGTGAGCCCAGTTTGGCTTCAACAAAAGCTCCTTGACTTTGAGGGGAAAGTAATTTTCAGACATGGAATGTTTCTGTTGAATGTTTGTTTTAAGTGAGTGTTTTGGATGTGATTTCAAGTCAACTATTCTTATAGGATGCAAAATATTAAAATTTAATTTGAATTGTTAAAATTGTCACACGATTGGTTGTTGCAGGGATGTAAAGATAAAACTAAACTATGCTAAAGGTTATAGTAGAATGGAAGAATACATGGAATATAAATATTGTTTTAACATTTCATTCAAAGTGTATCTCATTAAAACTAAGAATAAAACTTTGACCATTTGATCATTAAACAATGAAAATCCTTGTTGAGAAATTTTGGAAAGTGGTTTTGTTTGTTGGTTTATTTAAAACAGGACATTGAATAATAATGTAATGCACATAGACTGAATTAAAGATGGTTAAGTTAAAACCTGTAAATATAATAACAAATAATCGCTCTAGATTTCTGCATTTCTATGCATCAGACTATATACCTTTTTTATCATATAAACACACACACACATACCTCACATTAATTCCACATATTCTCAAGCAGAGTTTCCCCCTCTTCCTTCTCAACCCTGCAACTAGGTAAATAGGTGCTTTCAAAACTTATAAAAATACTTCCATATCTCATTGAATTGTTTCAAATCAGACTCAATATACAACCAGGAATATAATGAAAATAGACACCAGGGATGACGGAAAGAAACTTGAAAAAAAAACAACTTTGAAGTGCTCCAGTCACTTTATTTGTTAACGCAGAGAATAAACAGGACTGTGGCTTATGAAATCTTTGGCAACTGTATTTCTTTTATCAACACTCGGCATCGTGCTCATAAAAGCGTCCACAGTTCATGAGTGCAGCTGTGTGTGTATCCAGTGTGTGCAGCGCACAGGGTGACATCAGGATACTCTGTAAGAGCAGCCACAAAAACACACAATTTGTCTTGGTCCTCCGCAGGTTGAATGGACTTAACCGTCATTGTAATTCAATTAAGAAGATGAGTGTCAGTATTAAAATGCTCCCAGTCTGAGCAGCAGTGTCATCGTACAGTCTCTACTAACAAGTGAGAATATATTGTCAGTTGAATTTGCCTACTCGTCTTGAAAACAGGTTCTGGTTGCCAGAGCGTGTTTGTGAGTAACTGCTGTGAAACACACAGAACTCCATATTTCTCATTGTCTGCACGTGAACCTCGCTGGACTGTGATGTGACGTGTAATAAATACAGAGGATGTATTGTATCCAGATGTCTTTTTCTCCTCTTTCCTGATCCTTAGAGGAAAACAGATGCAGTGGATAATTGATTGTGTTGATAAATGCACTGGTTCGCTTTAAATGAAGCATGTGCTGGATGGTCAGTCTGAAACCACGTCCACTTCAGGTGTGTGGGGGTTTGAAAATAAACTGTCAACCTCTCTCTCACAAATACATCTTCATGTGTTCAACTCTCTGTATAAACAGATGGATGACATGATGGCTCCCCAAAATGTCTCGATCACCCCCTGGTGTCTGGCTGCAGTATAGGTCCCGAGCCTCCTCTATGTAAGTGGATGGGACATAGGTCCAAACAAAAAATATCAACTTCATGTCAAACACATTTTTCTCAAAGATGGTTTC